TTGTGGTATTGTAAATCTTTCGTAGGTCAAGTCCATACCTAAGAGGAAGACATGAAACCCAGAAAGCAGAGGACTTTGGGAATTATATCAGTTTACATCCAATGAGGAAGTAGAAACTATGCACTGAGGTTTATAGGTTTATAGGAGAAAGTGATAAAGAGTTCTTAAACGAAGGAGTAACTACAAGGTAAGAGGAAATACCATGTAATACCCTGTAGCTTGGAGAGTACCTGAGGAAAGACAAATTTAGAAAGGGACTCTCCTAAGCCTGTCATCTCACTGGATAACATGTAGTTCACCCAGTGGTGGGAGACGTTTGGTGGTTGATTCAGGTAATAATAGCTGGCAAACGGAAAGCTACTCTTCAAGTCTCAGATAAAAGGCGGCTGAAGAGGGAATTACCACTAGTGTGGACAGGAAACTTTTGGAAACTGGTGGGGATAGAAAGACTTCAGGCTACCAGTTTCCATGTTGAGAGCACTGTGGGAAAGTTATTGGCAGTCCAGGCCAAAGTTGCAATGTCAACCACTGTTCTAAATGCATGGTTAGGGAAGCCCTACACTGACATCCTTATATCTCCATAACTGACCAACTTTGCGGTTGCTGGAAACTAGGAATGCTCCTCCAGTGCCCTTATCGTGGTGCTCACTGTGGAGGAGAGATAATTCAATTGATTGTTCTTTATTACAGAGCCTAAATTGAGAAGCCAGGTGTCAGTAGCTCACACCTGTAATCCTAGCTACTCAGGAGACAGATCTGAGGCTCGAGGTTCAAAGCCAGCCTGGGCAGGAAAGTCCATGAGACTCTTATCCCCAATAAACCACCAGGAAAAAAAAAATCAAAACAGAAGTGGCATTGTGGCTTAAGTGATAGAACACTAGCCTTGAGCTGAAGAGCTGAGGGACAGTGCCCAGTCCTAGAGTTCAAGCCCCCAACCGACAAAAAAAAAATGAATTGAGAGCTGAGGCAATAAATTCATCAAGACTTGTTTTAAAAGCTGCATGCTCTAACTATATATCTACTATGGAGATTTAGTTCATTATGGAAAACCTTCCTACCCATATGTTTCACAAGTGAATGCTACTATACATTTAGGGAGAAATAGTTTCAATATTTATAGTATTATTACTATATGACTATGTAGTAGATATATTTATGTAAATAATGTATATTATATAATATATTCTAATTATAACTTGAAGTCAAAAAATCAAAGTTGGTTTAGAATTTAAAGGTCAATTTGTGTAATTGACCCTATTAACATTATAAAGTTTATATTCTGTTGTTATAAAGTCTCTTAAAATTTAATGGAGCTCTAATCTGGCTTGGTAATAATGATGAATGATATCTTTAAAAAGAGAAGCGAGGGGCTGGGAAGGTGGCTCAGTGGTAGAGTGCTTACCTCGCATGCATGAGGCCCTGTGTTCGATTCCTCAGCACCACATAAGCAGAAAAAGCTGGAAGTGGCGCTGTGGCTCTAGTGGTAGAGCGCTCACCTTGAGCTGAAGAGCTGAGGGACAGTGCCCAAGCCCAAAGTTCAGGCCCCATGACCAGTGCAAAAAAAAAAGCGACTTTAGTTTTCTACATTTTGATAATATTGTTAATTATAATAATAATATTGTTGTCAAAATATTATTACTAAAGCTATGGAAGCAGACAAGTTTTCTGTTTTTCTCAGCTGCTTGAAGAGTGTGTGTGTGTGTGTGTGTGTGTGTGTGTGTGTGCTAGTCCTGGGGCTTGAACTAGGGCCTGGGTGATTTTTTGATCAAGGCTATTGGTCTATCACTTGAGCCACAGCTCCACTTCTGACTTTTTGGTGGTTTATTGGAGATAAGATCTGAGATCTGAAAATCATGGTTCAAAATCAGCCCAGGCAAGAAAGCTCGTAAGACTTATCTCCAATTAACTACCAAAAGGCTGTATGTAAGTGGCTCAAGTGGTAAATTGCTAGCCTTGAACAAAAATGCTCATGAATAGCACCTAGGCCCTGAGTGCAAGACCCAGTACTGGGGAGAGAGGAAAGAAGGAAGGAAGGAAGGAAGGAAGGAAAGAAGGAAGGAAGGGAGGGAGGGAGGGAGGGAGGGACACAACAACAACAAAAAAGAATCTAGGACCAGGAGCTTTTGAGTTTTTACCTTGGAATACAGAAAATCGGCATTAATCTCTTTGCAATGCAAAAGAATCAGTTTAACTTCCAATTCATTTTTTTCTAAACTCATCTATGCAATATTAATTTTTTTCTTTTGTCAGTCAGGGGGCTTGAACTCAGGGCCTGGGTGCTGTCCCAGGTTTTTTTGCTCATACTAGTGCTCTACCACTTTGAGCCACAGTGCCATTTCCAGTTTTCTGGTGGTTAATTGGAGGTAAAAGTTTCACAGACTTTTCTGCCTGGACTGGCTTTGAACTGTGATCCTCAGATCTCAGCCTCCTGAGTTTCTAGGATTACTGGTGTGAAACACCTGCACCTGGTTTAATTTTCTCTTGCTGCCATAATGAACACTGATTTGCTAACTTTAATTAACTACATTACTTCACAGGGTCTGTAGGTCAGTAGTCTAAACACAGTCTGACTAAATGAGGATCTTAGAGCTGAAGTAAAAGTGTTGTCAGGACTACTGTACATTCTTTTCTGGAGACTATGGGGAAGAATCTACTTTCACACTCATTCTTGTTGTGAGAATTCACCTTCTTACAGGTTATCAGCATTACTGTCTTTTGTTTATAAATTCTGTCCACATTCTTCTTTCACATGGCTCCCTTCATAATTCTAACCAGCAACCAACAATATCACCAATCCCTGGCATGCTTCAAATCTTTCTGATTTTTGCCAGTAACCAGTTAATGCTCTCTGTTTCAAAGACTCATTTGATTACATTTGGCCCATTCAGATTATGTGTATATACATACATATATATATATATACATACATAAGTGCATATATACATATACACATTAAGTATATGGTTAGTATATATGGTTGTTTATGTATTACTTATTATATATATATATATAGTTACTTGGAGATTTACTTTCCTGCCCAGGCTGCCTTTGAACTGTGATCCTTATCTCAGCCTCCTGAGTAGCTAGGATCACAGATATGAGCCATCAGCATTCAGCTAATTTCTATATTTTAAGGCCTGTTGATTAGTAACCTTAAGTATATTTGCAAAATCCCTTTTGCCATTTGAACAGTTGGTTATCTGGTAACTTTGTGAAGGGTCTGTGTCCACTGCCACCTAATAAAGCTAGTAACAGAAAACACTTTACTGACAACAAGCAAGCAAGTTGGGAAATAACTTTCATCCCAAATTCAATTTGTCAGGCTCACAAGTAAAAAAGCTTATATGGGGCTTCTTGAGAAGTTGATTTTAATCACAGCCAGGTGAGCTCAGGAATGGACATTAATTATTGAGTAGTCAATTATTTTCATGTGGTTCCCATAGTGTTGCAATATTCCTGGTTCCTGTAAACCTAAGGAAAGATTACTGATTAGGCCAGATGCCCGTGGCTCTTGCTTGTAATCCTAGTTACTCAGGAGGCTGAGGATCACAATTCAAAGCCAGACCATGCTGGAAAGTCTGTGAGTCTCTTTCTTTCCAAATAACCACCTGAAAACTGGAAGTGGTGCTGTGGCTTAAAGTGGTAGAGTGCTAGCCTTGAGCAGAAAAGCTCTGGGACAGCACCCAAGCCTTGAGTTAAACCCCAGGAATGACTGGAAAAAGAAAACCCACCAAAAAAACAAAAACAAAAACAAAGAAGATTGGAGGTCAGGTGACTGGTTTTCCCTTGTTCTTATTTCCAGGTCAGACTGACTTTATCAGTTAATTATTTGGAGAATATGGTATCAGGAGTGAGGTGAAACAGATGTAGTGAAAAACAGACTTGCTTAAGGGCTAGGAACCAGTTAATCCAGTTAACCGATTCATTGCTTTCATCATATTCAGAGTTCTAGGGAGTAGGGTGTGGAATTGTCTTGGGGACCATAATTATGCCTATTAGATTATCAGAGTGGAGGTTACACAGCAACCAATTGCCTGAAATTCTCAGGAGAGACAACCTGTAGAGAGGGATGAAGCTTTCTCAGCTGAGTTAGATGCAACTAATACGAAAAGTCAAGAATTCAACAACAATTGGCAACTTGGCGATGGTCAGGGATAGGCTAAAAGGTAGTCTCTGCAGGCTACAGAAAATAAGGGGGATTTAAGTACTCTTTAAGGTTTTTTTGCTTACAGAAATTCCACCAGGTACCCAGAAAAAAGAGATTAAATAGCATAAAAAATATCAAGGTGCTGACCTGGAAAAAAAGGAATAGCAGCCATACAGAAGAGCAAGAAACTACCCAGATAAATGTCTGGAATCCCAACTAAGGAACAAAAGCCTTAATTTTATGTTGGTGGGTAGGTGGGACAATGTTTTTAGGGCACTAATGAAAACTCATGGTTGCTTGGAACAATGAAAAGAGTTTAAACATAAAAATATACTCCTAGGGTAGTGATAGGGTTTTGCAGTGGGCCCACAATTACAGTAGAGGAACTGGAAAGCCCATCAGACTACCCCTTCCTCTAAAACCAAGGACCACAATACACTTAAGACTAAACATTAATCAGAATAGAAACATAACCACACCCAACACCAAACATTTGGAACAAGAATAGAATATTCTTCAGATGGAAAATGAACAGGAATGAAATGCACAAGTAGACACTCTAAGGTACAACATATCAGAATCTAGGAGAATTTTTTTTCAGTGTAACAAATCTTTACCCTAGACACTGATAAACTATATTGGATTTTGAAGGCTGTAGTGTACTGAGGGTAACCATAGCAACAAACTCCAAACTGAGCCCAACTCTCACTAGATTAAAGCATTTTTTTTTTTTTTACTAAGCAGTAGGAAAGCCTGTCTCTTTTCAGCCATAGAAACTATGTACCTCAGTTCTTATAGTCCTATTAAGATGTCCATATTTCAACAATAAAATTACAAGGTTAAACGTGCCTTTGCTCGCCTCTCATTTCTTACAAAAAATAAAAATAAAAAAAAATCCAAAGACTGGAATTCAAATTTTATATGACACAGACATTGGCACAAACTGACAAAGAATTCAAAACAGCAGTGATAACATAGGAAATATAACATGGAAGTGGAGCTATGGCTCAAGTGGTGTATTGGACCCCTCAACAAAGGCTCCACATTTGAAATCAGTTTATGTGGAACCAAATATCGTAAATATAGGATTGTGTTATTCATCCGGAATTTTCAGAGGTTAGCATCTTATAAAACCACGTGGAAGTTCTGTTAACTCCTCATGCAAAACTATTAAATAGTAGCAGTTAATAGTTTTTTTCAGTTGTCCTATCGATGTCCTTATCCTAGTATTTCCGGATTTCATACAGTGTTCTGTTTTCTGTCAAAAAGAGATTTGACTTCTGAAAAATAATAAGATAAACAAACAGAATTATTAAACTAAGCTTTACATTTTTTTGCTTTAACTTCTGTACTTAAGTGGCCCTCTATTCTGTCAAATTAATGTCTCGGAGTCGTTTCCTGTTTTAACAGACCCGATATGACCGAGAACAAATAAAATATACATTGATAATGTGCCTAAATAAATCTTTTGGAATCCAAAGCAAAAAAGAAACCAGTACAGAACACTGTCGAGACATTTTTGTCCCAACGTCGAACCCGTATTTTCCCTAGCGGAAGCAGGGTCTCATTGGCTGGCGTGCGCCCGCCATCACGCCGGAAGGCCGCGTCATTGGTCCGCGCGGTCGGGACTCCGGGATCTTTTCTCCCAGCGCTCAGGGCGGCCGCGCTCCTTTCTTCCTCTCAGTGGGAGCCCAAAGGGATCCGGACGACCAAGGCGGGTAACTGCACCGGGGTCCGCTGTGTTTAGGCACGGGTGGGTAGAAGGGTGGCTGGTGAATCCGGGCAACGCTGCCTGGTCTGTGGCCCTCCGTCTCCCGGTGTTCGCGACTTCCCCTGGACTAATTCTTTGACACTCCAAGGCGGTGCTCCACTGCTCTTCCGGGCTCCGCCCTAGCTCTCTGCTAGCCACGCCCCTCCGTTGGCCCCGCCTCCGCGTGCGTGCCTGCGCCTTGGCCGGCCCCACGTTCTAGCGTGCCACGCCCTCCCATGGGTCCCACTTTCCCGCGCGCACACCTCTCCTTGGCCCCGCCCCCTTCCTTTTCACCATCCTCAGTGGCCCCGCCTCTCGCCCCTCCTCACGCCGTACCTCCTTCTTGCTCTCTGTCCCCTTTGTGCCCCACTTGGTCCATCCTTGCCACCTCCATGTACCTTTAGTTTGGTTCGGCCTCTCCGTGGCACCTGTTCCTTTTTCTTGGTTACCTTTGTCTTCTTTGCACCACGTTTCTCCAGTTTACCAGCCCGGGTTGCAGGACTCTGCTACCAATCCAGTCAGCATCCTAATGTAGGGGTTTACCAAACTGCGCCGCGGAGGTTGTACTGGGCGTTGGAGATTCGGATTACTAGTTGTTAGAGTTCAAGAGTCACTTCTTAATGGAGTATATAAAAGGTCCTGTGATGTCTTTGATGAAGGCAGTATGGTATTGGGATGATTAGGGGAAAGAGAGTTCTCCTCTTCCCCATTCCATCTGGATCTTCAAAGAAGCCTGCAAACAATCCTCGAATGGCGCCTGTCTCCAAAATGTCTCTGACTGTTCTGATACCTAAATCTTGCCCTGAGAAGAGTCCTTTAAACATTTGGTTATTATTAACATCTTGGCATCAACGTCTGCCTACAGTGATCACATACCTAATCTGTCATTGAGAGCAGTGTCTGACTTAGAATCAGCATACTCATTTTTTTTTTTTTTTTTTGAGACAGGGTCTCACTATATAGTCCAGGCTATTCTCAAACTAGAATTCTGCCTCCACTTCCCAACTGCTGTCCTGGTTAGCATTACAGCCTTCTTTTTTCTTTCAATACTGGGGATTGAATCCAGGGTGTTGAGATTGTTAGACAAATGTGCTACATGTGAGCTATATTTACCCCTAACCCAGCATTATACTCTTGCTTGTTCCTTTTGATGATTCTTACCTGGTTTTTCAGTTAGATAGTAGTCTTGTTAGGAAAATTAAAAGCAAGCATAGATAAAACACTAGTTAGTAGAGTAAGTTCCTCCTGGTCAGTGCACTGGTGCAAGTGTAAATTACTTGGAAAACAATAGCTCATCTTTCAAGTTTCTGAAGTTAGTTATTCCTAGATCTTACCAGCTTCACCATTTATTGGAAATCTTAGCCAAAAAAAGTTTACTTTTCATAAAAAGAGTAAGAGCCAGTACAGGTGGCTCATGCCTGTAATCCTAGCTACTCAGAAGGTTGAGAGCAGCCAGCCTGGGCAGACAAATCTGAGAGATTCTTACCTCCAATTAACTACCAAAAAGCCAGAAGTGACTGACTAGACACCATTTTGAAAATGTACTATACAAACTTGTGGATGGGTACAGGAGGGAGAAACTAGGCAAGAGTGAGGGGAGGGGTAAAATTATCCAGAAAGAAATGTGCTCTTTTTTGTTTTTTGTTTGGTTGTGGGGCTTGAACTCAATGCCTAGGCACTGTCCCTGAGTGCTTTTTGCTAATGGCTAGTGCTCTACCACTTTGAGCCACAGGTTCACTTCTGGTTTTCTGATAATTAATTGGAGCTAGAATCTCACGGACTTTCCTTCCTGGGCTGGCTTTGAACCATGATCCTCAAATCTTGGCCTCCTGAGTAGTTAGGATTATAGGTATGAGCTAACAGCACCTGGCTTAAGAAGTGTAGTCTTGGACTGGGAAGGTGCTCAGTGGTAGATCGCTTGCCTTGCATGCTCGAGGCCCTAGGTTCGATTCCTCAGCACCACATAAGCAGAAAAAAAAAAGCTGGAAATGGCGCTGTGGCTCAAGTGGTAGAATGCTAGCCTTGAGCTTAAGAGCTGAGGGACAGTGCCCAGGCCCAGAGTTCAGGCCCCACAACCGGCCCCCCCCCCCCCAAAAAAAAAATGTAGTCGTTACCGGATTTATGTAAGCATATACCAGATTAACTGTAGCCCCTCTGTATATCATTTTTATAATAACAATAAGCTTTTTTTTTTAAAGCCAAAAGTAGAGGTGTGGCTTAAGTGGTGTTGGAGCACCAGCCTTGTGAGGAAAAGCTGAGAGAGCATGAAGCCCTGAATTCAAGCTCCAGTCCCAACACACACACACACACACACGCACGCACGCACGCACGCACGCACGCACACACACACACTATAACACACATACACACACAGAGGATGATAAACTATCACACAGAGTCATGGGATTTGTTGAGAATCTACTTATGAAAACACTTAGGTTAATTTTAGCATATAGCCTATGTATTTAAGTCTGTAAAAAGCCTGATCTGATACATTGCCCCTTCTCTCAGGTACCATGACGACCCTGGATGACAAGTTGCTGGGAGAGAAGCTGCAGTACTACTATAGTACTAGTGAAGATGAGGACAGTGACCATGAAGACAAAGAAGGAGGTGGGGGTCCCCTGGCCAGTGGTTCCATGCCTCCAGAGGCTGAGATGGCAGGCGAAGGCATCTCAGTTAACACAGGTACTGGAAACCCCTGAGCTCTGAGAACAGGCCTCAGAAATAGCACTTTATTATGTCTTCTGATCTCTTTTCTCTAAACACCTGCCTCACTTCCAAAGGTAACTTAATGTTGTTACTTTATTGTGTATACTTCTTGCCTTTTCATTACACAGTGCAAATGTCAGTGCATAGCAGCAAAGCAATGAACAGACTGAGCTTGGATTGAGTTGTGTTTCTCAAGATTAATATTTGTTTGATATCCCATAAGTCATAGGTATATGTATATTCCTAGAAATTTACACTTTTGTTTTTATTTTGTTGTTGTTGTTGTTGATCGTGGGGCTTGAACTCAGGTCCTGGGTACTGTCCCTGAGCTTTTTTGCTCAAGGCTAGTGCTCTACCACTTTGAGCAACACTGCAACTTCTGGTTTTCTGGTGGTTAATTGGAGAGAAGTCTCACAGACTTTTCTGTCTGGGCTGGCTTTAAACTGTGATCCTCAGATCTCAGCCTCCTAAGTGCTAGGATTACAGGTGTGAGTATGGCCGGTTTTTTTTTTTTTTTTGGTTGGTCATGGGACTTGAACTCTGGGCCTGGGTGCTGTACCTGAAGTCTTCAGCTCAAGGCTAGCGCTCTACCACTTGAGCCACAGCGCCACTTCTGGCCTTTTCTGCTTATGTGGTGCTGAGGAATGAAACCCAGGGCCTCATGCATGCAAGGCAAGCACTCTACCACAGAGCCACCTTCCCATCCCCTGTTTTTATCTTTTTTAAAAAATTTCTTTTTGGCAGTTTTGGGGATTGAACCTAGGGCTCCACATGTGCTAACCTAGTGTTCTTTTTTTTTTTGGCCAGGCCTGGGGCTTGAACTCAGTATGGGTACTGTCCCTGAGCTTCTTTTGCTCAAGGCTAGCTCTATCACTTGAGCAACAGCCCTACTTTCAGTTTTTTCTGTTTATGTGGTACTGAGGAATCTAACCCAGGACTTCATGCATGCTAGGCAAGCACTCTACCACTGAGCCACACTCCCAGCCCCCTAGCACTATCTCACTGAGGTATATCCCAATCCACTTTTTAATATTGTAGGCATGGCACCAATTTCTTTTCTTTTTTTTTGGTGCTGGTACTGGGGCTTGAACTCACAGCCTGTGCTCCCACTTGGCTTTCCTGATTGTGCAATATTTTGCTGGTTAATTGGAATGGAGTCTTTGTATTTTTCTGCTGGCTTTGAACTGAGATCCTCCAGGTCTCACAGTGGCTGTAATTTATAGCTTAACCAGCAATGTGATATTTTTCATTGTACTGTTGTATTATACTTTAAAATTTTTTTGCCATTCTGGATTATCATATTTTTACTTTTAGAGATGGGATATCATTGTGTTGCCTAGGTTGGTCTTGAACTCTTGGTCTTAACTCATCCTTCCTCAGCCTTCCTAATAACTAAGACTACTGGATGTACTGCTGTGCCTGACTTGTTATTATTATATTTTTTTTTATTGTCAAGGTGATATACAGAGGGATTTCAGTTATATAAGTAAGGTAATAAGTACATTTCTTGTCAAACTTGTTACCCCTCCCTCATTTCTCTCCTATTGTTATTATTTTTAACCTGGTATATTTGAAGCATCTCAATGCAGGAAATACAGAACAGCCTCATTTCTGCTAAGTGTTTCTTATTTTTCCTTTGTTTGTTTTTTTGGGTCCGGTCATGGGGCCTGAACTCTGGGCCTGGGTGCTGTCCCTCAGCTCTTCAGCTCAAGGCTAGTGCTCTACCACTTGAGCCACAGCGCCACTTCTGGCTTTTTTCTTTTTTTGCTGATGTGGTGCTGAGGAATTGAACCCAGGGCCTCTGGCATGCAAGGCATGCGCTCTACCACTGAGCCACCTTCCTAGCCCCATTATTTTTCCTTTGAATAAATGAGCTATAATTTATATAACTAGTCTCCTAACCCTGAACATTAACTTGATGCTTTAATTATCACACACTGTACTGCAGTCCACCTCACTAAGTAGACCATGCTGCCCTGTGACAGAGTACACAGAAGCTTCGTGTTAAGATCAAGAGAGTGATCAAGCCGGGTAACATGAGTGGTCCACAGTTCCTTGTCCATTTGTGGTCATATCCATGTTCATCTTGCACAGGCCCAAAAGGTGTTATCAATGACTGGCGTCGCTTCAAGCAGTTAGAGACGGAGCAGAGGGAGGAACAGTGCCGGGAGATGGAGAGGCTAATCAAGAAGTTGTCCATGACCTGCAGGTCCCATCTGGATGAAGAGGAGGAGCAACAGAAACAAAAAGACCTCCAGGAGAAGATCAGTGGGAAGGTAATCAGCAGTACACAGGCTTGTCTTTGATGTTGCCCTGGCTGCTAGAACTGAGCTTAATGCTTTAGTAGACAAAGGAGATTTGGTTTGGCCTGTGAGAAACTGCAGTTCCAGTTAGATAGAGAGCCATATCAGACACACCAATATTTGATCTCAGGTCTGCTCTCAGTGATTGTGCAAAAGCTTTTTCCTTTTTGAATCTGTTTTTTCATTGGCTAAATTATAGGTCAGTATTTCCCTATTACAGGGACTGGTCTGTTGAAAGTGCTGTTAGTTTTCTTTTATTGAAATCTTGTTTTAGGCCAGAAGTAACCTGAAGGAAGACATTTTTTTCATATCAAATGTGGTGATATTTATTTTCTGCAGTTTATAGATGAGAAACCAGTACTTAACAGGGAAGTTGTAATGCATTCCATAAGCCTCATTGGCTTAATTCAGATTTTCCTGCTCTTTCCATGATGTTGTTCCAATTTTTTTTGAAGCCATTTCATGAGGATTTATTCTGTGCAGACATTACGTTAGAAGGAATAGACATTGAAAGATATTTGGAACCAAGTGTCTGATGCTCCTTTACCTTCTCAGTATTATGAAAGGATAGTGTTACCCCTGTGCCCTCTGACCGTGGAAGAATGAACACACTGGAGTGCCTGAAAACCTCTTAGCTATGATCTAAAACTAAAATACCAGCCAGGATTAGGGAGCAGATAAGAGCATTAAACAGAGAAGCGTTCATCTTGAACCAGGTGGATGATGATTTCTGGGCCTGAAACTCTGGCAAGGACAGTAACAAGTCAGATACTCTGGGAGGCTAGGATAGAGTGGAAGGCCATGTGATAGGAAGAAGACTGGTTATCAGTAAGGCTGCAAATTCATGATGATCTGCTTAATTATGACACAGTATAAGATGGTGTTCTTATCTCTTGCCCCGCACCAACGAAAAGATTATAACAGATGGGCAGGACACCTGCTACTCACATTTGCTTCTTTATGTTGAAGGGAGAGATCAAAATGGAGTAATAGTCATGTGAGTACCTGGGTCACGTGTGAGAAAGACTATCCCTCTTCAGCTGAGTTTCCTCAAACAAAGAAGTGGAAACTGCCTAAATCTCAGAAATGAGATATTAGTTTTTTGTGTATGTGTGCCAGTCCTGGAGCTTGCACTCAGAGCCTGGGCATTCTTCCTGAACTTTTGTGCCCAAGACTAGCTCTATACCACTAGAGCCACAGCTCCACTTCTGGCTTTTTTGTCTGTTAATTGGAGATTTACAGACTTTCCTGCCTGAGCTGGCTTTGAACTGTAGCGCTCAGTTCTCAGCTTCCTGAATAGGATTATAAATATGAACCACTGATACCAAGCTAAAAATGAGACACTATATATTACTTTATAATATTATTTGGAAACATGGGGAAATGCCAACAAATTATTATTAACAATTAGCTAAGAGGCAAAAGTTGTATTACCCATGGCTACAACTCAACTATAAAAGCAAAACTATTCCACCATGTTGACTGGTAATAAGAAAAATAAAGCCAGGTATTGGGGTGCATGGGATTAGAGGTATCACCTATAATTCAGGAAGATTGTGAGTTAGAGACCATCTGGGGTTACATAACAAGATCCAAGCCAGCCTGAGCTACATAACAAAGCTTGTCTCAGAAAAAATTAAATAAATTTTTAGAGAGTGCATGTAAGTATGTATGTGTGTGCAGGGCAGACATTATGAGTGTTCTTTTTGAAGTTCCTTAATGTCTTGTTATTTTTCAACAAAAACAAAGCAGTGAACAAAATACCTTGTTAAAACTGACCAAAGGGGCTGGGAAGGTGGCTCAGTGGTAGAGTGCTTGCCTTGCACGCATGAGGCCTTGGGTTCGATTTCTCAGTACCACATAAAAAGAAAAGCCCGGAAGTGGCACTGTGACTGTGTGGTAGAGCAGTAGCCTTGGGCTGAAGAGCTGAGGGACAGGACCTAGGAGAAAAGAACAAACAAAAAAAAAAACTGACCAAAAAGATCAATGGACTGATACTACCCGATGTTGCCTATTTAGATAGAGAAGCAATCTGATATTGTAAAAAGCCTGGGTTATTAAAGTCTAATTCAAATCCTGGTCTTCGACTTACTATTCATATGAACTTGTGCAAATAATGTAAAATCTTGGGGCAACCCCTGCTCCCCTGTTGTGAAGTAGAGGATGTCAAAGTCCTTTGCCAATGGAAATATCATAAGAAATCTCCAGCTTGGGCTGGAGAATCATTTGCGATTAAGTTTGGAGCCTGCTGGGCAATATTATGAGACCCTGCCTCCAAAATAAAAGAAAAAAAGGTAAAAGCAGTAATACATAATGCATATGAAGATCTAGTGTGATGTCTCTGGTATTGAAAACACATCGTGTTTGTTGACATTTATTACGAGTGTCCACCTGCTGGTTCTCCTGCAGATGACTCTGAAGGAGCTTGCTATGATGAGTGAGGACCAGGATGATCAAGAGTTTCTGCAGCAGTACCGGAAGCAGAGGATGGAAGAGATGCGACAGCAATTTCATAAGGGGCCTCAGTTCAGGCGGGTTTTTGAGATCACCAGTGGAGAAGGGTTTTTGGACATAATTGATAAAGAACAGAAGAGCACTCTCATCCTGGTTCATATTTATGAGGATGGCATTCCAGGCACCGAAGCCATGAATGGTTGTATGATCTGCCTTGCCACGGAGTACCCGGCTGTCAAATTTTGCCGTGTGAAGAGCTCAGTTATTGGGGCCAGTAGTCGGTTCACCAGGAATGCCCTTCCTGCCCTGCTCATCTACAAGGGGGGTGAATTGATTGGCAATTTTGTTCGTGTTACTGACCAGCTGGGAGAGGATTTCTTTGCTGTGGACCTTGAAGCTTTTCTACAGGAGTTTGGATTACTCCCAGAAAAAGAAGTCTTGGTGCTGACGTCTCTGCGTAACTCTGCCACCTGCCACAGTGAGGACAGCGATCTGGAAATAGATTGAGCTGATAATCTGGTTGCATAGATTCCTTGTGGTTAGGCTGGTGGACACATGTCTACGTTTATTTTTGTTCCTTCCTATATCTTCTGGCTTTCCAGCTGTTCTTTGTAGTCCCTTTATTATGTAGAAAGCCAAGAAATTCCTAGATTAAATCCAAATGCTGATTCACCTTGCAGCTAGCAATAAAGTGATTTAGGATTATATAAACAGGAAGCTAGGCTTTTGAGCTGTTTACTTAAGATTCTCTGGCATGACATCTTTGTTGTTGTTTCCAGTCAATATTTACACAGGCAATGTCCTGCAAATTGTCTTTTAGTGACCTAGAGGTCTTTGCCAAGTTTGAGAGTAGAATTCCCTAGTTAGTGTGTTATGTGCAATGTAATCAATGTAATCAAATGATTCTAAGTTATATTTACTTGTAATCATACAAAGCAGTTACATCCCTTCCCCTGCCCCCAGATGCTCTTCTCTACCGGGGTCTGAGATGTAGCTCAGTGGCAAAGTACTTGCCTAGTGTGCACAAGGCCCTGAGTTGGAGGCAGATAACTAACGTTTACTACCCTGTCAAGGACTGGTAACCTCTGCTTCTGGAGTCAATGTCCTGCTCAGCGTTACGGCATATGCACCGGAGGATGATGGTCCTGCTGCTGGAAAACAGCATCTTTTTGACCCAGACATTGGAGCTGGGGTGCTCTGGAAAGCTTGTTGAAATAGGACTTTTCAATCCTACTTATAGCTATTATGTCTGTCTTGGTTATTTAATAAGTTAACTTTTTATTTAATGGATTTTTTTAAACTTCTTTCTTTGCATATTGGAAAAATAATTCGTATTCAGTAGGGGGAAATTGGCCAAAATGCAGATGCCAAAATAACAAAATTAGAATAATCTCTAATCTTACCATCTAAACACTTACTAATATTTTGGTATATTTTTTACTAAGGTATTTTCTATGCATACATACAGACATTTTGTTTGTTTTTAAGCAAAGCATTGGGATCATTCTGAACATACTGTTTTATAGTATGGCCAGCTAATATTATATCAGAATTTTTTTATATTATTAAATACTCTTCTATAGCATTTAAAAGTAGCCATATATTCCATTGCGTAGACCTGCTGTACTTTGCTTTGTGGTTGTCTCAGAAAGATAACAAACTTGCTGGGCGCTGGTGGCTCACGCCTGTAATCCTAGCTACTAAGGAGGCTGAGATCTGAGGATCATGGTTCAAAGCCAGCCTGGGCAGAAAAGTCCGTGAGACTCTTATCTCCAATTAACCACTAGAAAACTGGAAGTGGTGCTGTGGTGCTGTGCGGTAGAGCACTAGCCTTGAGCAGAAGAGCACAGGGATAGTGCCCAAGCCCAGAGTTCAAAACCCATGACTGAGAAAAAAAAAAAAAAGATAACAAACTTTTTTTTTATTATGAAAGTAATAGTTCATGGTAGAACCATGTAATAAAAACTGTTAAGCTGAAAAGAGATTTTAAAAGCCATAATTCCACTAATAAAAATGAATCCTTGTATCACTTTTATAGCTATCTCTTTAGCCTTTTTTGTGTGTATATTTATAGTAACGATTGTCATTGGAGGGTTTTTTTTTTTTTCCATACGTAAAATGTATGTCCTAGGATTGGGAAAATGTAATCTGGAATTAAACATTAGCTTTAAAATGTATGGCTTTGGTTTTCTTGGCTGTTCAGAAATCCACTAACCAGAAAAGAATCTTGAAAATACCTGGCTATGTTTAAATAACAAAAAGAGTGCGTTTTGCCTGGCGCTGGTGGCTCACGCCTGTAATCCTAGCTACTCAGGAGGCTGAGATCTGAGGATCGTGGTTCAAAGCCAGCCCGGGCAGGAGAGACCGTGAGACTCCTATCTCCAATAAACCACCAGAAAACCGGATGTGGCGCTGTAGCTCAAGTGATAGAGCGCTCGCCTTGAGCTGAAGAGCTGAGGGACAGCGCCCAGGCCCAGAGTTCAGGCCCCACGACTGACAAAAAAAAAAAAAGGGAAGGCTAAAGAGAAACCCTGTTCATTGAATTAGTTTCATATAAAACTAGGATTTCTCTTCTTCAGAGAGACCTCTATTCTGCTTTTTTTTTGTTGTTGGTTAGTTGTGAAGCTTGAATTCTGGGCCTGGGTGCTTGTCCCTCAGCTCTTCAGCTCAAGGCATGCGCTCTACAACAGTGCCACTTCTGGTTTTCTGGTGGTTAGTTGGAGATAAGAGTCTCATGGACTTTCCTGCCTAGGCTGGCTTTGAACCGTGATCCTCAGATATCAGCCTCTGAGTAGCTAGGATTACAGGCATGAGCCACTGGCTCCTGGCTCTATTCTGCTTTTTTTTTTTTTTTTGTCGGTTGTGGGGCCTGACCTCTGAGTCTGGGTGCTGTCCCTCAACTTTTCAGCTCAAGGCTAGCACTCTACCACTTGAGCCAAACACCACTTCCAGCTTTTTCTGTTTATGTGGTGCTGAGGGCCCCATGCATGTAAGGCAAGCACTCTACCATTGAGCCACCTTCCCAGCCCCTCTATTCTGTTTTTAAGGCCTTTTACCAGATTAAATCAGGGCCACTTCTATTTTTTACGACAATCTCTTTACTAAAGTCACTAATTATGAACTTAGATCATCATTTCAGCACACCTTCACAGTAATCATCTAGAATAGTGTTTAAATATCAATGTGTGTGTTTGCCTGTCCAAATACGCATCAAACAATACTACAGTACAGGTGCTGCTCCACTCCAGAGAGGATTGCATCCTGGTCAGTCCATTGTACATTGACAGTGCACTTCACAACTGCACTTAATATACCTAACCTGCCAAATATAACAGCAACACAGTATATGGAGAATGGCTTATTTTACCCTTGTGGTCACTTAGCTGACTAGGGATGGAGGTGGGGGGGGGGGGTGTGAAGCTTTCCCTCAGCATCATGAAAGAGTAGCATACTCTATATTGCAGCTCATTGAGGGAGAATAAAGAATAAAGCAACGAAAATAGTGTCTTCATACTTTCAGTCGGGCTATTAATTACAGTGTCCATCTCTGATTTCCTGGCTGCTGTTTTTCAGCCTTAAAAAAGGAAAGAAAAGAAAAGCCAGGCATTATTGGCACAGTCCCTTCTCTCCTCTTCACCTGATTTTCTTTTTAGCCATGGAATTTGGGAAGGAAAGAGACTAATATTTGTCTATCACAAAACTGTCTCAGTAGTTGTCCAGATTTGCTTTCCTCTAGAGTGAACATTCGGGGCTTTTTCTCCCTGTGTGTGGCAGCAGGCAAGGGCTTCAATTCTCAAAATGCTGCCATCACCAACTAACAGCAAGATACTCTCCGTACCTCAGTTTCCTCACTTGTGAAATGGGGATGGAGACTGAAGTTATATGAGGAATTTAGAGCAATCTGGTTGTAGTCCAATGTCTTATTCGTGCACATATATTAGCTATGCAAGGGAGTTTCATTGTGACATGTCCTCATATTTTTTATTTATTTATTTTTATTTTATTTTATTTTATTTTTTTAATTTTCATTTTTATTTTTTGTGAACATACTGTACAGAGGGGTTACAATTACATGGGCAAGATAATGAGTACATTTCTTTTTTTTTCTCCATTTATTGAATTTATTTTAATGCTATTACTCAGCATATGTTGGCTACATTAAACCATTACAGTAAAAATTAAAATGAAAGTCATATGATTTATCCCCTTTTAAAAGTGCTCAGTTGGTCTAATAAAAGTCGAGTGCCAAATACCAGATGTCTGATTTAAAAGAAATTCTGAACCAAACGTAAAACAAAAAACCGACTTCTCATTATTTTCTTAAGATATTTACACGAGATGAATGTCATATTTATATTTACATATAAATACAATTATATGAATATGTTTGATTTAGTGAAGATTCGGGGAATGCATATAAAGTATAGTATATTGATCTTGCTTGTTTTTTTTATTTATTTTATTTATTTATTTTGTGAACACACTGTACAGAGGGGATGAGTACGTTTCTTACCAAGCATTGCAGCCTCCTCCTTTGTTTACCCTTCACCTCCCTTCCCAGCCTCCCTAAGTCCTCATATTTTATACAATGTATTCCAATCAGTCTCCCCTTCTGTCGCTCTCTCTTATCCTCCTCCCCTTCTTAATACAATTTGGAGAGGTTTCATTGCTCTATTTTCATGCTCGCTGGCAATCTATCTCAACAATATCCATCCTTCTACCCTCCATTAACAACTCCCTTTCACTAATACTTGCTCTGTCCACAGAGCCTATTTCTTTTTCCCCTCCTCCCAACTTCTTATTGATAAACAGCTTTTATTAAAGGTTCTTTATTCTGTTTTCATATATATTACAATATATATGACAAATATATATATATATATATATATATATATATATATATATATATATATATATACACTTATTTGTGGTGTATATGAGAATTATTCACCATCTTTCTCCTCCTTTTCTTCCTAAGTAGTCACATAATTAGACTCATGTTTCTCTTTATATATGTACATCTATAATTATATATACAGGTTTATGTATATATGTTCATATCTAGGAATATATGTTTTTTAGGTCTAGCTTTCACAGATGAACTAAATATCTCAAGCTTGGCTTGTATCAGTCACTATGCCCTTCAGATCTATTTTCCTATAAGTGATAGGATTTTTTTTTTTTTTTTGGTCGGTCATGGGGCCTGAACTCTGGGCCTGGGTGCTGTCCCTCAGCTCTTCAGCTCAAAGCTAGCACTCTACCACTTGAGCCACAGCACTACTTCTGGTTTTCTGGTGGTTAATTGGAGATAAGAGTCTCATGGCCTTTCCTGCCCAGGCTGGCTTTGAACTGCAATCCTCAGATCTCAGCCTCCTGAGTAGGATTACAAGTGTGAGCCACCGGCACCCGGCTGTGATAGGATTTTATCTTTATGACTTAATACTCCAAAGTGTGATATGTGTATATGTGTGTGTATACATACATATGTATATCATAACTTTTTTATCTGTTCACCTGTTGTTAGGTACCTTGGTGGATTTCACTATTTGGCTATTGTGAACAATGCTGCAATAAACATTGGTATTCAGGTGTCTGTTGTATACTGATATACTCTTTTGGATATATGTCCAACAGTAGAACCAACTGTTTTATCATTCCACTACCCACAACTATACCTGGCTCTTGGTAAAAGAGCAATAAATGGTATACTCTTTCAAAGTAGGAAGCAGTAATATGTCAGAAATATGAAAACCAGGACTTAGTATGATTAATGACATTCTAGATTGGTACAACTGGTGGGAAGGTTGGGATTTAAAATCTGGTTTGTGTAGTTCCAAAATTTCTGGTATGTTCATGATATCATATTCATAGTGGAAGAAGTGAAATGACCAAGTGACAATAATATAGAAAAATTAAAAAAAATGATAGGAGAATAAGCCAGAAAAAGAAAATTAAAGAAATTAGAGAAAGGAAGCTGGGTGCTGGTAATTCACCCTGGCGTGCAGTCTTAGCTACTTAGGAGGCTGAAATCTGAGGATCATGGTTTGAAGCCAGCCTAGGCAGGAAAGTTGTCACAAAACAGGAAGTGAACCTACTGTGTCTCGCATGGTAGAACACTAGCCTTGAGTGAAAAAACTAAGGACGTGCTCAGGCCCTGAGTTCAAGCATCAGTACCAGTGCACACACACACTCATACACACACTAAAAAACCCAACCCTACCATCCTATCTAAATGTTAATGTGGATTTAAAGATTTTTTTTTAAAAGTCAATGTTATTACTATATTTTTGGGTGCTT